GGTAAGCTCATGTTCTTCCACTTTGGCATCTTGTTTGGACCACAACAGTTACATTCTGGCGGAGTTTGAGCGTTCTGCGATGCGTAGTTTTTTTTACGCGGGCCGAAAAGCAGGGTTTACTTTTCTCGATCGGACCCTGTATATTTATATATGACGAACCCCTGACGAAGCCAGGTCCTCCCGGCGAAACGGTTGGGAAATAAAGCTTTAATTTTTATAAGTTCTGAGTTTTGAAGTTGTTTTCGGGCGTTTTCATTTACTTATGTTTTATTATATATATATATATATATATATGTGTGTGTGTGTGTGTGTGTAAGAAAGTCACAAGATATTGTATAAATCTGCATCCTACAGGTCGTGTACTGCTCATGTGCACAATTAAAGCATTAGTTTTGGTTGTCCCTGTTTGGTGATTTCACTCATACCCTAGTTAAGTGCTCTTATTGGAGGCATCAATCTAAGCAAGAGGGTGTAGTCTTAAGCGCCGTTCACACTCTTGTGGCCGAGTAAGACCGAAAGAGACCCGACCGGATTTTAAGCCTTTTGCTACTTCTTAGGACCGGATGCACTGCAGCGGAGCTGGTCGTAAGAGATCGCAAGAGGCTTAAAAACCGGGCTGGCCTCTCTCGGTCTTAGTCTGTCGCAAGAGTGTGAACGGGCCTTTACACACTTTGCCACATTTACTAAACCCCCAAACTTCAATTCGACGTACTGCGCGCTGACGTTGCAATGATGGTGCAAAGTTCCACGAGCTACTTGATACCGAGTTGTACAACTTGGTAAAATGCTGATGCACGCATTACTGATTAAACAAAACTAATCCGGGTTTTCTTGACCCTACTGCAAAATCTTGGTGTTCGTTTCTTCCAGTGCTTCTTACGTCCAAAACACGTGCCACGATCTGAACCGATTCACCTTAGTGCTGTGAAGAGGCTCTTTACACGCGCTACAATGCGCAACGCACAAAAATAAAATAAAACCATACTGATATGAAGAAGAAAAGATAACAACAAAACATTGCAAGCTTTTGGCTCCTCGTGAAACTTAAGGTAGGTCGGCGATTCCTGGAGCCACTCCTGGACTTGAGATCTGAGTGTCTTGTCGACCAACCAGTCGTTCGCGGAGTTCGTGCACTCCGTTTCAAGGCCAGAAGAGACCTTCTACGACGACGCCGGCGACAACTAATCGAAACATGTGACAAGACGGTGTTTTAGAGAACGCCTGAACCCGCTGGAACACTTCAGTAACCGCGAATTTTTTGTGCAGGACCGCTTCACGCATGCGAACGTAGCATGCACACTGCTGGCTCTGGCTGGAGTGCGAATACTCTGGGCCTGCCGCCTTCGCCAATTCTGGAGCTCTTCGTTGCTTTGAGCTTTTATGGTGCCGGGACGTTCGAAGTTTTTCCAGAAACCATGTGAACATGCCGCAGCCGATAGCGTGCCGGGTTGCAGGGCGAGTTTCGTGGCTCCTCGCATGGACCATCTTCACCCGTTCGCTAAAGTTCGAGGACGGAGCGGTGATTGATAAGAGGACCCGGTGGTTCTGATGTGAAAATGTTTTCGTAACAGAAATTGATACTTCTCCATCAAAGTGCAGGTAAGTTCACTTCTGTTGTTTTGTTTAGTATTGCGAAACTTGAATAATGAAAATGCATGCTGAGATGCGACAGCATAGATTTAAACTCTGACGTAATATTATCAATCGAAGCCGAATATGAAAAAAATAATAAAAAAACTGTATCCTGCTATAGTTTGCACGGCCGAGCGTGGGGTACTCGCGTTCTTTTGAAAAAAATAAATAAATGATGTCATGAAACGGTGTCCGGCTCTTGTGAGAGAACACAAATAGGTTAAAATAAAACGTGCTCCCGATTGGGTTGACGAGCACAACGATAGAAGTGGCCCGAGCGCACAGTTCTTGCAAGAATGATCATGACGAAAGCACACTTCCAACGAATGCGGTACGAGACGATGTTTTGTTCAGGGTGTCGAACCGGAACCGAACCGAACCAAAAACCGGAACATAACCGTTATTTTTAGCCGAACCGGAACTGAACCGAACCGAAATCTCCGCGCCATCTTGGAACTGAACCGGAACCGAACCGGAAAAAAAATATAACGGTAACCGGTTCAGAACGGTTCAGGGTGGTTTTGTTTTTTGAAGTGTCACGAAATGAATATTTGAGAAATAAAAAACTGGCAGCTGTATTTCTATGTATTGATCAAATCGACATGTATAGAATTGCAATGTGCGATAAACTGTTGCTTTTCGTGGCGCTTTGCATGGACACTGTTGTCAACCATGTGTCACCCGGTCACGTAACGTCATGGTGTCAAACATGCTGTCAAGTAATGTCACGTGACCCCGTGACGTCACGTGACTCACTACGTCAAGTCAATTTAATTTGATGAAGTCACTAGATTAATTAATTTTGTTGACAGCGTGACGTAACATAACTTCACGACTTCACATCAAGAGCCATGTGACACCGTAACGTAAGCGATTTTAAAACACAGAGTCGAGTGCTCGGGTTCATGACAATCAGTATCGCCAAAATTCGGGTAACGGCTCGTGTTCAATTAAAGATGATAATAGCCCAACTCAAACAATATCTGAAGCCCAGCCCAAGTTCTTAGCTTTCTAAATCCCAGCGCATCACTATGAATAACACTGACGGAATATAATTACTGTCAGGTCTTGTGGCCGCTTGTTCTAATTAAGAGTTGAGGGGAGGGGGGCGGGGGGGGGGGAAGATGTTTCTTTTCTTTCTTTTTTCTGCATCTGCTATGGCGCGGAGGGGGAAACTAATGGGTATTTTCTTAAGCTATCAACGTCAGGGATTACTTCTTAACGTTTTTACTGAAAGTACAAGAAACGTTGCGCGACCAATTTTAGATTATTGAGGTCATGCTTTCGTTGTTGCTGAACTGCTTTGGAAAGATGTCCCTGAGAATAGATGTATTGAAAGAAACTAAATGTGACTTATTAATATTACGTTACGTAGAACTACATGTGTGTACGGGAAGGATACCTGAAAAAAAGAAAAGATCATAGAGGCCTCAGAGGGACATCCGAACGTTGACAATCGCTCTATGTCTCACAGGAGCGTCGTTCTCAAGTTAGTCCCCGAGTTTCGACCACCTCTGTATTTTGTTTAAAGGAACCATGAAACGATTTGTCTGTCTTCACTAAATACTATTTAGAATTCCTTCCTGGCGTTAATAGCAAAATAAAGTTGCTTTAGCAATTTTTCTAGGCAATGGTAGTCGCTATAAAACATTATAGAAATATGAGCATCGTTCATCCCCTCAACTCGGCGCCAGAAGCGGTCACGTGGCCTGGTGCCTATCCTATACCGCCAACATCACTCCTAGCCACGCGCTATAGGTTCGCAAAGTAGAAAACGGGTGCTGAGCTCCTGGTTTTGTGTTAGTTCGGCTATTCTCATCACCGCAGTGGTTGGACACGAACCACTCACTACCCGAGTGTCCGCCAAGGCCTTGACTGTTACGAGCCGAAGTCGAGTGCTCACGCAGGTCTCCTGTACAATCCACGAGCCACGCTGGACGGTCGTGAAAAGGGTGGTTTCAATCTCGCAATTACGTCATCAATCTTTGCGAAGGCAAGTCTGAAAGAAACAGTCTCATTTTATCATCGCCATTTCACCACGACAAAGAAGCTTCTGAATCAGGGGCGGCCTGTGCGAGTATACTTGGGCCAGACTAGGACCAGTACGCCTCTGCAAAGTCATGAAAATTCCAACCCGATGTCGTTTTATCACCCCTTTAAACTTCACGGGGTGAAAATAAAAAGCCATGGACGGTTCCTGTTAACAAGTCACAACTATAATTGTCAAATTAACAAACCCAAACGGAGGAGGCGATTCCTCAGGAATGCAAAACATTATCTGTTAGAGCAACAAAAAATAAAGAAGGGGGAGGGAGGGGGGGGGGCGTATTTTTAAAAGCATACTGTGTTGCAAAGGTTCCTCTTCCTCGCATTTTCTGTGGATCATAAACCGTAGCCCTGGATACTACTTTGTTTGCAAAAACACTCTTGCCAAAAAGCGCGTTTTTGTTGTGCTAGGCGCTAAGCCATTCCTCACGACGATGCACTTATAATAAGAATTCGTGCCTCTCTAATTCTTGACTTTCACTGAGCGCCAACCTCCTGCAGCGTGCACTTTGCACCATCGAATTTAATTTTCTCAGCAAGAACAAACGGCAATGACCGTCAGCATAGAGTGTGATGACGTCACGTCCGTACCGTACCGTGTTAAACCGTTCAGCTTTCTGGAGAAGTGCGATGTTCGCAACACTTACAATAGTTGTCCAAATTGTAAACTTGTACAGTATTGATAGCAGTCTCGCGATGATATACGGCAGCCTAGAGAAATGTTAGAGCGCATGACTGATAAAGCACGGTGTTGTAAAATGAGGGACCAAAACAAGTGCACCTAAAACCGAATATAACATTAGCCTTCCGAGCCAGTATTTTGCGAAGTTTCGAGCTCATGCAAGCTGATGAAATGTGATTTTTATTAGAATTTTAAGAATCTTTGTCTGTCCTTCGCGCTATTTATGTATAATAGGGAATATCATTGCATGCATCTTTATGCATACCTCTTTGCACTGTGGGGGCCCGCTCTGCCGCCGCCTGATTGCTACCAGACGCTGGCGGCCGAGGGCGGCTCAAGGGCGAGCCGTCGGCACCCTCGGTAGCCGATCGAGGCTGATAGTGGCCGGCTGGTGGCGGCGGCGGACGTCCTCGGGCCCCCTTCAAAGGAGCCCGACCCCCAAGGGCCTGGACGGCGTGGATGGGGAGCCGGGAGGACAGCCACGTCGGGAGGAAGGCACCCGTCGGCCTGGCGCCGGGAAAAAGGGGTGCGAGGGAAGGACCGGCGGGGGCTCGAGGGGTCGGGGGGAGGACAGGGGAGTGGTGCGACGGACGTGAAAGAGGACGGACGTTTGGATACCGTGAGGTGCGACCGCCGGAGAACTCAACAATGTGAGTGAATAAATGTTTATATGGAAAGTGGTGTTGTGTCACTCGGGGGTGGGGAAGCTGGACGGGGATAACCCCATACACTGGCGCCCAACGTGGGGCCCGATTAATTGTCTTTGTCCAGTTCCTCTTCCCGGGTGTCACCACTCTACTTGTGTTTAATTTTGGAGCGGGGACCAATTTGCCAAGGGTTCTGATTAGGCAGAGAGCTTTGACTTAAGTCGAGATGCCGAAGTCCAGGCGCGAGGGAAACGGAAGTTCAAACGGCGCGAACCAGCCGAGCAGACGGGAACCCACAGCCGCCGTTCCCCCTGAGGCTAACCCCGCAGGGGCGACTGCGTCGCTGGTTGAGAGTCCGACCATCGCGCAACCGCAGGCGCCTTCGGGTGCGGCTGAGCTCATGGAGCAAATGACAGCTCTGTTCGCTACACTTACGCGGCAGTTAGCTGCGGCGCAGAGCCCGACTGCTCCCGCGCCGGTGACTCTTCCGCGTCCGCGGCTTACGATGGAGCTGCCCACGTATTCGGGTTACGCGGATGAGAGTTCTGTTCATGACTTCCTGTTGCGCCTGGGCACCTACCAAACGGCCGTTGGCGCGTCGGATGACACCGTCATCCGGCAGATCCTGCCAATCGCCCTTGTCGGGGATGCCGCCCGTTGGTGGAGGCTTCAGGAGCCTCCCTCATCGATGGCCGCGTTCCATGAGCGCTTCCGAAGCGAGTTTCTGCCGCCGGACTATGAGAGGCGCGTCCGCGAGGAATTAAACACGCGCACGCAGCATCCTGACGAGAGCCTTTTGGAGTACGTGCGCGCACTTCAGGAACTTTATTCGAGAGCAGACCCCGCGGCGAGTCACGCGGACCAAGTTTCGCGCGTAATCCGCCAGTGCCACCCATCCTTCAAGCCGTACCTTCGTGGGCGCAGCTTCGACACCCTGGAGGCTCTGGCTCGAGAGGCGCGCGTCGTTCAGGCGGACTTGCTTGCTGAGCTCCGCTACGCGCCGACGCCTGGGCCGGAGGAATCGCTTGAGCCTAGCTGCGCCTGGGCGGGGTCCCAAAGCCCGACCCCCCGCGTCGAGGCAGCGTCGGTGTCCGCGGTTGTTAGGCGCGAGGCGCGAGAAGTCGTTTCAGCTCGCGCGCTAGACCCCTTCTCGTACGAGCAGAGACGCCGCGCCGGCCGCGAGAATCGGCCTTCGAGTTCGGTCGGGGCCAGCGCGGCCGGGGCGCGTGGTGTCGCGAGGCGGGGAGATAACGCGCCCCGTTTCGGTCGAGATGAAAGGGACGGGCGTCGCCAGAGTCCGGGCCGCCGACCCCTGCGTTGTTTCCGGTGTGACCAGCCTGGCCACATCATACGTAACTGTCCGCAGCTCGAGCGCGACGGTCAGCGCCAGGGAAACGCCCGGGGCCAGCGGCGTTAACCGGATCATCCAGGTTCCCGCCGCTGGCCAGCGGCGAAAGGGAGGGGCGACGCGGTACCGTGGGGAAGCCCCACGAAGACGTGTCGCCGACATGTCCCACTGATGTCGCGGACGCGTTTGCCCCACTGGCATGTAGAGCCCAGACGGGACTCTCTGCCTCTGGACCTTACATGACGATTAACATTGCTGGGAGGGAGTTCTCAGCATTGATAGATACCGGAGCTACCCTTTGTCTGATCGGTGACGACGTGTACGAAGCATGCCGCGAGAGGAGGAGGAGTTTAAGACCGGTCGACATCTGCATGCGTTTGGCAACGGGCATGACGAGGGCTGAGGGGGCTCTGCGCCTTCAGGTCGAGTTTGACGGTCGACGTAAGAGGCAACGTTTTGTGTACCTTCGGGGTCTCACATCTCCGGTCATACTGGGGCGAGATTTCCTTTCTCGGGAAGGCATCATCGTTGACCTGCGGAACAATGGGTACCGTTACGACCCGTCTACTCCGCTGATACCTTTCGCCGACCCACCGCCCTGTGTTCCTTGCGCTCCACGTACGACGGCTCTCGCTGGGTGTCCCAAGCTCCAGCCAGAGGCGCTCGTCACGCAGGTTGGAGCGGCGGAATTGGAGGCCGTGCTCGCGTCTTTCGACGGCCCGACCGAGCAGAGGCATGCACTCGCGGACGTTTTGCGCCCCTTTTCGGCGACATTCACCGAACGGCCGGGCATGACTAACGTCCTTCAGCACCGGATCGACACCGGCGAAGCTAAGCCCTGGGGTTGCAATCCCCGGCCGCTTAGCGTTCACAAAAGAAACCTCCTAGACGCCGCCCTCGACGAGATGATTGACACGGGCGCGGTCAGGAGATCGAAAAGTCCTTGGGCTTTCCCGGTAGTTCTAGCTCCAAAGAAGGACGGGACAGCCAGGCTTTGCGTTGACTACCGCCAACTCAATTCTCTGACAACGAGGGATGCGTATCCTTTTCCGTCGATCGAATCCATCATGTATTCCTTGGGGAACGCCCGAGTGTTTACAACACTAGACTGCAGCAGGGGGTTTTTGCAGATTCAGATCGCTCCTGCCGATGTCGAGAAGACTGCTTTCACTTGCCATCGCGGGTTATTTGAGTTTACTCGCCTTCCCTTCGGACTGTCTAACTTGCCGGCAAGTTTCCAGCGACTTATGGACATCGTTTTGGGAGACGCCAGGTTTAATTTCGCAATGGCCTACATGGATGATGTTGTGGTCTTCTCCAAGTCATTCAGCGAACATCTCGTTCACCTGAGGATCATCCTTGGACGAATGAGGGATGCGGGGTTGACGATTAACCCGAAGAAGGTACAGCTCGCTTCTCCGAAAATCGATCTCCTTGGGTTTGTGGTCGACGAGGGAACCTTGAAACCGAACGACGAGAAGTTAAGGGCCATCCTTGATTTCCCTCGGCCGCAGGAGGTGAAAGGCCTCCAAAGGTTTCTAGGAATGATTGGGTTTTATCGCCATTTTATTCCCAACTGTGCCGAGCTAGCCCGCCCGCTTAACCAGCTGCTGCGCAAAGGCTCGAAGTACGTCTGGCAACGAGAACAAGAGGTGTCATTCATCTCTCTCACTCGCGCGATCGCGGCGACTGCCAGTTTGCGACTGCCGGACTTAAACTTGCCGTTTGTGGTGCAAACAGACGCCAGCGATTACGGCGTGGGAGCGGTCTTGTTGCAAGAGCACGACGGCCAATTAAGGCCCGTCGCCTTTGCGAGCCGCACACTCACGCCAGCGGAACGCAACTACAGCACCACCGAGCGAGAGGGAGTGGCAATTATGTATGCCCTGCATAAGTTCGATCTCTACCTGGATGGCGCTCTCTTTACCATCCAAACTGATCACAACGCTCTCGCCTGGATTCAGAGGCTGAAGCAACCAGCCGGCAGACTGGCCCGCTGGGTGCTCACTCTGCAGCGCTACGCCTACAAGATAGAGTATCGCAGAGGCACTGCGAACCAGGTCGCGGACGCATTGTCGCGCGCACCCGTGGAGACTGACCCGGGGGAACTGCCCCGGGCAACCCTCCACTTACGACAGCATGCTTGCGGGAATGCAGAGGAAAGGGGCGAGAAGGAGAGAGCGCCCGGTCACGCGCCGGAAGCTGGTTCCAGGGGTGCCATCCACGCGGAGAGAAAGACTCGCGGCAATGCGAGCGGTGGCGGAAAAGGTGATACCCCGCCTTGTGCGGCTGTGTGTGATGCCACCAATGAACAGATGAACGCTTGGGGTACTGTTGTGAGCAGGGAAGAGTTGTTGGAAGCCCAGAAAACAGATGGTTTCTGTCAGCGAGTGTCGGAAAAGCTAGCGGATAACGCAGCAGACGCTGGAAACGCTGGCACGGGACAGCGGGTGTCAGAAACGCTGGAGGGCAACGCAGCGGACACCGGAAACGCGGGCGCGAGGGTCGATAGAGAGATCGATTCCTATCTGTTGGGTGAAAACAACTTGTTGCTCAGGTACATCCCCGAGATGGACGAACACGAGGGAGACCCATCCCCCTTCAAAATCGTCGTTCCGCGGAAGCTGCGGCGGAAACTGATGAGGTATTTTCATGACTCGGCCCTGGCAGGCCACGGGAGCGGCAAGAAGACTTACGAAAAGTTGTGTCGTGTCGTGACCTGGCCGGGAATGAGGAGGGAGGTACTTCGATATGCCCGCAGCTGTCCAGCGTGCCAAGTGGCGAAGCCCAGGGGAGGGAAGCCCCCCGGCCTGATGCAACCTGTCATCAGCAAGCGCCCTTGGGAGACGGTCGCGTGTGACATCATCGGACCACCGCCCCGAAGTCCACGCGGAAACCAGTATCTACTCGTCGTCACGGACCATTTCTCGAAGTGGGTCGAGCTTTTCCCACTCAGAAAGCTAGTGTCTGCAAGAATCTGGGAAAGACTGTTGGATACGTTTTGTCGCTACGGTTTCCCTGCTTCTCTGATCACAGATAACGCGTCGGTGTTCACAAGTAAGGTCTTTGTGGACTCGTGCCGGTCACTCAATATCCAGCACAAACGAACAACGCCTTACCACCCACAGGCGAACATCACCGAGCGGGTGAACCGGAACCTGAAGGCGATGCTGGTGACACTCACCGGTAAGCATAAGGATTGGGACGCGAACATATCCGAGCTCGGTTTTGCAACCCGAACGACGGTAAATCGATCGACTGGACTGACACCCGCGTACCTGAACTTGGGAAAGGAGCTGACGTATCCCTTGGAAAATGGATTCCGAGAGTGTGGGCAGGCTGACCCCCGCCCCATCTCTCGCTACGCATCGGAACTCCGTGGCCGACTCGGGGACGCCCTCCGCACGGCCAGGGAGAACCTCGACGCTGCCCGGCTGGAGCAGGCCGCCCAGTACGACAAAACGCACCGCCACCTGGTTTACGCCGTTGGGGATCTGGTCCTTAGGCGAACACACCCTCTCAGCAACGCGGCGCAAGGTTTTGCGGCGTCGCTGGCACACAGGTGGGAAGGGCCGTACCGGGTCGCGGCACGACTGTCACGTTTGACCTACCGACTTGCTCGCCTGGACACGGGCGAAGTGTCCGGCTCGGTGCACGTGGGCGACTTAAAGACCTACTGCCTCCGCGATCCTGACGATACTGACGGGGAGGCAGGCGGGACAAGCAACGCTGGGGAAAATCCCCGGAGATACAATCTCAGGGCCAAAAGGCACTAGTGTATCGCATCCATTAACCACCTCTTTTTCCCACACAGAATGTCTGCCAACGGCGGTGCACGGGGCCGACCCCACCGCGGCGAACGCCGAACTCAGCCCTGGACGACGGAGCGGGTTTACTACCCCCGCTCGAGGTCCAGGTCTGGTCGCGGGTCCCGGAACCGGGGGGGCGACAATGGGACGCCCGAGGACTTCAGGCGCGTCCGGTCGGGCAGGGGAGGGCGCTCGAGCTCCCACTCCACGCAACCGCCTCCGGCTGGGCCTAAACCCCTGGAGCAGGCCAAGAAGAAGACGCGGTCGGCTGCTACATGGACGGTGGTCTCCGGGAGGGAGGCAGTCGGTTACGCGTCCCACGCAAGGTGGAGGGACCAGTACCGCCCCTCCCGCGGGGTCAACCCGTCCGAGGTGAGGCCACCTTTCCGGGGATTGACCCTGGCGGACCGGGACGACGAGCCGCCGGCCGTCTACACGGCAGAGGAGGAGGCGGCCCTCTGTCCGGTCTGCCACGTCTTGGTGGTGTGCCAGGAGGCCCATGCCGGGGGCAAGCTCCACACGGAGAGGGACCAACGGAAGAAAGACGCAGCGGCTGCGGCTGCTGCCACCGAGGAGGACATCGAGGCGGCCCTCAAGCTGCTGCGGAGGGAGCGGCCGGGGCTCCTGACTCCGGCCCCAGATTTGGTCCCCCCTGCCGCGCCGATCCCGCGGGCCCTGGAGCTTCCGCCGCTGAGGCAGTCCGAGCCGGTCCGGCCTGCCGAGTTCATCGGCCCCACCCCGACGGACTCATCTGCCACCGGGCCCGGAGGGCCTATCACTCGGACCCCGCCGTCGCCGTCCTTGATGGACGTTGACCTGGACTCTTTCTTGGCGGCGTCGGGGTCTGAGGATTGAGGGGGGGGGGTGGTGTAGGGGCCCGCTCTGCCGCCGCCTGATTGCTACCAGACGCTGGCGGCCGAGGGCGGCTCAAGGGCGAGCCGTCGGCACCCTCGGTAGCCGATCGAGGCTGATAGTGGCCGGCTGGTGGCGGCGGCGGACGTCCTCGGGCCCCCTTCAAAGGAGCCCGACCCCCAAGGGCCTGGACGGCGTGGATGGGGAGCCGGGAGAACACCCACGTCGGGAGGAAGGCACCCGTCGGCCTGGCGCCGGGAAAAAGGGGTGCGAGGGAAGGACCGGCGGGGGCTCGAGGGGTCGGTGGGAGGACGAGGGAGTGGTGCGACGGACGTGAAAGAGGACGGACGTTTGGATACCGTGAGGTGCGACCGCCGGAGAACTCTACAATGTGAGTGAATAAATGTTTATATGGAAAGTGGTGTTGTGTCACTCGGGGGTGGGGAAGCTGGACGGGGATAACCCCATAGCACTTAGGCATTCTATAAGGGATTATTTAGAAAAGTAACATTAATTATCTCTCTCTTTCTGCAAATTTCGTGTATCTGCCTTCCGATCTTTCATGTGAACACAAAATCCTTTTTGGCATACCCTGCAACGCAATGTTTCATACTGTCGATCATCGAACAAAAAGACGTTTACGCAGACTCAACAGCTCGCGTAGTTTCGAGTATCGCCCTTCCGTGTCAGTTTCAAGCGGTTATGTGAACTTCATAAAGCAAAAATTATTATTGATAATAAAAATATATTTAATTAGTGGCTGAAGATTTGACAACATAATTCAAGGGCCGATCACCTCAAAGCAATGCACCCCTAAATTTTTCTGTGCGTTTTTATTCTCTACAGGTACATTTTAAGAGATGTGGGAGAGCATCGCACCAATTTCTAATTTTGACGCAAATTTAAGTAACTATGTGTTCTCGAAACATATAACTTTTCAAACATATAGAAGTCTGTTATTGCCTCTTTTGTGCGGTGAGCATAACGTTTATGTGTCTCAGGGCTGGGCAAAAACGAAGTACACAGGGGCTCGTGGCGGAACTATGACGGTTACGCACGCAAACGGTCAGAGAGTTTCCAATTAAGTGGTGCCATGTAGAGTAGAAGATGAAACACTACTTCGTTTTGTTTAACAAAAAATCTTAGAGACGCTTAAGCTTCGCCTTTAAGATTGGAACGCGGTAACGTTTTTGGGCTCCGTTCGCATCGCCTTCTCATTCGCCGTGCAAGCCTGCCTTGCGTGGCCTAGTTAGTAGCGTGTCTGACTCGCTACCGAAGGGTCGTGGGTTGCGTTAGGTTAGGTTAGGTTAGGTTAGGTTGGAATCCCGCCTAAAATTACTCAATTTTTTTTCCTTAATGCGAAGGAATTGCTCTATAAAGTGAGATCATTTGAGAGATGTAGCGACTTTTAGTTAGCTTCACATGTCATGTTTTAATCATTTTCACACCAGGCGTGACGTCTAGATTCACGTGAATGTTGTGGGTTTGAAATTTTCGCGCGAGGACATGTGGTTGTGACGTCATGACCCTATTGACAAATGAGGATTTTCGCGCCACGCCACCGAAATCGTCTTTTCTGCGACACGAGCTCCTTAACGCTATCGCGTTAAAATCATCAATTAGCAAGGGTGATCCTTATTTGCAAATTGAATTGACCGGCCTCTTGTCAAGTACAACCCTCAACAGCCATGCTATGCCAGTTTATCATGTATAAAAAAATATTCAATTGGGCAGGCGCTATTTTGGACCAGATTCAATCTGAGTGCGAAGGTGCGTGTAGATTAGAAAGAACGATTTTGGTTATTTCTTTCTGCATCATTCGTTGCATGCATCGCGGTGCTGAGTGTAAACAATGTTTGGCAAGCAAAATATGCATTGCGATTGCCGCTCGGTGTTTTTATAAAAGATAGACCGAAAGAATTGTTCGAAAACTTTCGCCACATTTTGAAAACTTTATCGTTTTTAGCTAAGTTGTGTGCTCATATACATATTGTGAAATGTATTTCGTAAATCATATTCATGATATATAAGGTGACGAGGTGCCCATTTCATTATTTTATGCGCTGTAATTAATTCCTTAGTTCAAGGACACAACCACAATTTAATGTTTAATGCTGCGACGCAAAGTTCTACCAATCATGGGTATTTTATGCGACCTACGATACTTCGCGATAACATTTTGATACCGTAAAGAGATAAGCTTGAACTTTTTTGAACTTTAGAACTAGGCTTAAACACGAAGAAAGGAAGGACAGCAAAGGACAATAAAGTTCTAAAGTTCAAGCTGATCTATATACAGGTATGTACCAACAAGCTCAACTCTTTACTGTTATACGTGAACATTTTGAGTTAGGTAAAATATTTGTGACTCTGGTAAACAGAGATGTTGAGTCGCATGAACATGGCGTTTTGTACTTTCATGTAGATTTTTTTCTACTTTTGCGTGGAAGTTAAATAACAGAATTTTATATTTTGGTACCTGAAAATAAAATTGGATTGTACGGGCGATAGAAGAAGCTATATAGTTAACCGTTTCACGGCGTAAATTGTGCATATTGCCAGAACATTGCAGAAAATATATTCTCAATTTAGCGGTTCAAACCGGTTCGAACCGGTTTGAACCAGTTTTAACCGTTATTTTTTGCTCCCCGGAACTGAACCGGAACTTAACCGAAAGCCATGAACCCGAACCCGAACCGAACCGATATAAATTTCGGTTCGACACTCTGGTTTTGTTACAGCACCGCCTCATCCTATATGAACCTCTTCGTATCGTCAGATTCTCAAATATGAAGACATAAACTAAACTAGATTAAAATTGGAAATTATGAGTGAGTGTTTTCTTTCTACATGCATGAAAACATTATTTGATGTCATTGATTTGGTATTCTGTGTAAATTGGGACTGACAAGAGTCCCAGATGTAAACAGTTTTTGTGTTTGTGTCATGTCCACCAAACTGGACGGCGAACATCCACTGCTTGATAACACTTGATGGTCATCGAGGTTGGTTGGTGTTGGTTCTTGACATTCATTGCTTAAATCAGACTACTGCTTACGGCCCAAAAATATACAATAATGTAGAAAACATACCCTCTACCACACCATTGGCAGATCGATAACCTTGGGCAAGCAGCAGAGTGTACCGAAAATGCAACTAGCGCCAAAAGACCATATAGTGCGGCAGACCACCCGTGCTGTACTGATGCCTGCATCCATCTAATAGACTTTTTGAAGCTTGATGTGCTGGAAGGGACATAATTCGCTGACGACAAAGAACTGTCTCTACATCTGAAGAGTGTTATCCTACAAAGAACTTTTTATCTAGAACAGTAGTCTGAGCATTAATTGGACATACCCTACCGCATATACAGGTCCCACATTTCCTATTCAAACAGTAATTGTGGTGTATTCCTCTTGTGTGTAGTGGCAGTGCGTTAAGCAGCAACAGAAAAAAGAATTTTTATTGGTTTTTCATTCTTGTCTGATGTAGCTACAAAAGGGCCCATTTCCGAACAATTAAAGCGACTAGAATCTAATTGCAGCGGGCCAAGGCACTTTCCGTGGCTCGAAATGTGGTAGCAGCACAAGCCTGAATGGTAAGCTCTGATGATTACTGGTGGGCTTGCACTGCAAAACTTGGCCCGCCTGCAGAACGAGCTACTTCCCGTTCCACCAGTCCCCTCCTGATAATGTCGAAGGCAGTCTCATCTCCCATCGCCTCCAGACCCCATGAACGCATTCAACAGGACATGGGTGCGGGCTTAACTCATTGCGTGGTGCTTCCAGTAGGCACTGAATGCAGAGTATGTCGCTTTTAGCATAGGTCACCAAAGAATCAACTCACAGGCCATGCTAAAGCTCAAAATGCAATCGGGCCAGAAACAAATGAACCTTATATTATGGCCACACACTTTCTTGTTTGAGCAGGAAAAAAAAAATTCACCGGTTTTTCAGTTAGTTGGTCACCGCGGATTGTTGCAACGTCTTTGTTCTACACAAGTTCCAGCTGGACGACAGGGTTTTAAACTATGCTGGTGGTTGACCAACTTGCCTACTTTGTTGTGGAAACATTTTTCTCGGGTACAATTTAATCTTTGTCATCACACAAAGCAGAGGGTTAGCAGGATACAGAGAAAGTGAAAAGCTTCAGATAATTACATTGTAATAACTCAGATTTTCGCCATGTTCAGACCCGAAACTTTTCAGGGAGTTGCTAAGTTCGCATTTGTTACACATAAACTTATATATGAGAATATGTGAGATCATATCTTCCAGCTTTAACACCCCATGAAGAATTTTCGCTTAGAATAAATATTGCAATAGGTCGCCAATTTCTCGTCAGGACACCTGTGGTTAGGCGGTCAAGGGTGTCCTACCTGACAATACCTAAAAATGCTGGACCCATCCACTCAAACTGGTGGCATCATACTACGTATAACTGAGTGCAAGCATGAATGAGGTAAGCACTCTACCACGGTTCAGCTCGAACTGCTGTTCAATTACTGTTTCACTATGAGGTCAGTACGCGCCAAACCAACGACGGGCATGTGGCAGGCCCCAGCAGTGAACTGAGGATTAATTTTGACCATCTGGGGATCATTTCACGAGAAACCCAAAGCTCGGTGACATGGCGCCATCTCTTCAATAAAAAGTTAGTGGGCAAACCTCGTCAATGTGGTCTTGACTTTACTCTGGGAGGCGGTGCGAGTCGATAGAGGATTGCGAGGCACAAATTACTGGACAGGAAGTGAGACATGTCTGAACTCAGTGAAAACAATGGTAAAATCTGTGACAACAGTATTTAATGCCCAAAGGTGCACATGGACAACACAATAATCAAATAGACATTATATAAATAACAGTGGTGAAGTTTACAAAACACCTGGCTCTACACAGTAAAACATTGATTCCTATATTTCCTTCAGGGGATCGGTGGGCGATTGCATTAACGCATCACAGCTTGGAGCACGTGGATTAAAACCTCGCACACCTGAATATAGG